CACCGGTGCCAAACGGATACGAATGGTGGTCCTTTCCCCCACTGGCTTATCGTCTAGGTCCACGACGAAGCACGTGGGGACATGGGCGGATGTGAGGGAGCAGGGAGAGAGCTGAGTGTCTCTCCACATCTGGGCTCAGGAGCACAGTAATTTTCATGCTGGAAACAAATTCTGGAGGTGAGAAAAACCTTTCTCCTTGCCCAGAGGTTGATGGGGCTGAGGATCCCCATACCTGTTTTCTTCAACTTTGACTATATTCTGGGATGTAGTTTGAGCTGTTTTTTCCTTGAGAAACTATTCTACAACTCAAAACCTCTCTCTCTGTTATCAGCCTAACTTCTTTCTGATTCTATCCCATTACTGTCTAATTATTCCCTCTGGTGGTTCCCTAAATAAATCCTCTCTTCTCTGTGTTTACTCCTTCCCGGTGCTTCATCCTGCCAGTATCTTCAGCTGTCCAACACAGCTTGCAGAATCCTTTCCCTCCCTTTGCCTTTTCACAGGCTTTTTCTTTTTCTTGTTGCTCTTCGCTGCTACTCCTGGGTTGTCCTCTCCCGGGCTTGGAGCCCAGCTTCTGGGGCTGAGTGCAGAGTGCTCCAGAGCGTGGCAGGGTCCCTCCCCGCTCCCAGCGGGAGGCTCTGTGCCTTCGCTCTGGGACAGTCGCCTGCTTGGATGCGATCTCCTGCTGGAAACGTGCCCGTCTTGCTGCCTCCTGCAGTTCTACAGGTTTCCTAGCCTCAAGACTTGTTGCCATCCCCACGATAGATTAGCTGGTGACTTCTGAAGCTGAACCTTGCTCACTTCTGCCTGAGTTTGGTTTCCTTGCTGTGCCTAGAGCTGGTCCTTCATGCGGCCCACTTTGCTAGCACCTGCTCTGATCTCCCATAAAGATGACCTGTAATGCTGGTTTCTCCAGTACTGCTCAATGCCTTAGTGACTAGCATTGCTCTTGGCTTGTATTCCTAATTAGTTTTCACCTTCTTGTCTTGAATAGAACTGCTTGAACCCCCCTCCACCACCACCCCTTCCAAAAAGGATAGGTGGTTATTAAAGGCTTGAGTGAAAATCAGTAATGATGTTGCTATTTCCTCTGCACTGATTGCAGTATGTTAAGAAGAACTCAGCTCTTGACACTTCTTAGATGCTTTTTCATCTTTACACACTTCCAGCTGTTGGCTTTTGAGTTGCATTTGGGAAGATGGAGTCAGTTTAAACACCAGGGCCTCTGTGCCCTGGCCTTTCCATGGCAGCAGCACTAGCTGCTGTACAAGCTGTGGGAAACATAGTGTGCTTTTCTCCTCTTTCGTATTTTCTCGTTCCTAATTTATATCTGACCAGTTGGGGTTACCCGGTCAGCCTTCTGTGAGTGGAGCAGTTACCCAGCTCTGCTGGCTGGGGCTGATGTGACCAAGCTTTGTGTTACTTAGATGAACCACCTCTCTTCTCTGGGCATCTGGTGGCCAGTTTGCAGCAGATGAAAGGAGCTAAACCCTGACCACTGAGGAGCCGTGGCTGAGCCGGGTCGGTCCGTCGCCCAGCACAGACGCCCGTCCTGGCGGGAGCACCCGCATCCCTCGCTCCGAGCAGGGGAACTGCTGGCAGCTCCCAGGCAGGGACATGCTGGGGACCAGGGCAGCTCCTCCGGCCAAACTTTGCCCTCCCTGGGAGGTGGCCCTGTCCCTTCGCCGGCCGGGAAGCTGCTTGCCTGGCCAAGACAACTTTCAGCGACTCCCAGCAGCATTTTAAAACCAGATCATTTCCCCACTTGACTCCGGCTCTGTTAGTGCAGACAATTGCTGACATTGCTAATTAGGTCAGCTGCTCCTGGTGAATGTGAAGTTGATGTGTTCAAGAGACGGGAAGTTATTTGAGGTCTCACCAACCTAGAAACCCAGAAAAGGTTTCTGGAGCTGCTCGTGCGCTCGGGCTCCAGGTCCCAGCACTGCCGTGGCCACGGCGAGCTCTGACCCGGGCTCCTTCCCTGCTGTCTCGTGCAGCGAGCTCCAGAAGTGGTGGGGTTTCTCTCTCCTTCAAAATGAAGTTTTATTTAGATTCTCAAGGCTTAAAAGCTGAATTTGAAACTGACAACCTAAATTAAGTTATAAACTTCTTATGTTACAGTAATCATTTAAATTAATTACACAACATTCAAACAGTGCCCTCTTTTTCCTGAAATCCTCCCAGGAATGACAGCCAGGAGCCCCAGGGCTGAGCGCTCGGAGCCAGAGCCGGGCTCCAACCAGCGGGCGACATCTGGCCCCCGCGAGCTCTGGCTGCGTCGGCTGGGGCCAAGAGATGCTGTCCTTTATTTAAGTTGTCTTTCTATGAATTATCCAAAATGAGAACTATCTAGTAAAGAAGAAGTGGTGTTCACCATTTTCTAATGTATTAACATGTAAAAATCAAGGATCTGAATAAATCAATGGCACATCATGCAAATATGCATGAAGTATATAAAGCACTGAGAGTACTAAATTTAGAGCAAAGGCTCTGCACTTGCAAATCATCCTGTCTTAATGACTACAGCCAGTTAAAACAAGCCTTTCTTTAGTGAAGTAATTAAAAGTACACTTGCAAAACAAGAGGGAAATCAGGGATGTAAATAAGGGTTTTCTTTAAACTTGCTTACTTAAGTCATGATTAAAACTAAAACCCCCCCCTTGCTGAGGTGGAGAAATTTCACCCTGGCTTGTATCGTGGTGCGTGGTACCTTCAGGCCTAAAGCTGCTCCTTCTGGGACCGTTCACCATGTAGGAAACCCGCATGGCAAGCAGGGGGCAAGGCTGGCCTTGTGTTGCTCACCACCCTGAGTTTGCTGGAGGTGGACTTCTTTTGCTCCTTACCTCCTCCTTTTTGATGGTCTATTTAGCAAATTAAATGGATTGAGTTTTAAGCATCAAGGTCTGTGCTTGCTCCCGTGTTCCTGCTGTTTCAGGTGCCGTCATGCTTGCCCAAACCGGGGCACCCGGAGTTCAGCAGAGTGCTGTGAGAAGGAGGGGATGGAGAGACCTCTGCCTCCTCCAGCCCCGAGGCTCTGTTGGGAGCAGAAGTAAATGCAGCTTTTTCAGGACCATGTTTTTAAAGCACCTGAGTGCCGTGGGGTGGTAGAGCTGGAGGCTCGGGAGCCTTCGGGCTGCACTGGGCTCTGCGGTGCGTCAGCCTGGGGCATCCTTCCCTCCTGGCTCTGGCAGCAGGAGACAGCTCCTGGCTCGGTCCTCTGTGCCTGTTCCTGGGGCTAATAATACTCAGGCGGAGGCGTCGTGCGTGGCGGTGCCTCTGTCCTGAGCCCACTCGTCTCCAAAGTTGCTTTTCCTTCTCCAGCTGAGCATGTCCTCCCACTGCCGTCCACGCAGCGGCTCCCACCAACACGCAGCTCGGCGGGCGCCCGCTGC